CTGCCATTGACTTTCGTTGCAGCTGTGAGGAACCCTGTACTCTAGTGAGTTCAGACTGTTCTGCCTATTTCCTCCCAAGTTTGAATGCTTCTGCCCTGTCCCTATCCCAGTCCTGTCTCTTCCCCACCCTGGCTCCTCATCCCAGTCCCATTCTCCTCATCTAGCCAGTCCCAGACCTCTAGTGCACAGCATCAGAATTTAGATGATGAAAGTCAATTTGAGAAGTTACCAACTTTTCAATTGAGATGTTGCTATGGAATGTTGGCTCTGGTGAACTTAGTAAGCATGTAGCCCCTTTTATTACATACATAGACCTAAACATGTAACCTATTCTCAAATGAGGCTTGGTGAAATAAAAGATCATTTTGCCAAAATGGTGCATTATAGGCTTTGAGCCTCCTCAAGCTCATGGGGTTTTCCACTTGTACAGACCTATGAAGATTCACAGGAAAAGGGGAATGACCTCTGAGCTCTTCCCTCAAGCTACCTCTTCCTTGCACCCACTGAGGTCTTCCTTTGGGACCTGATCCAAAGCCCATTGAAATCAATGTAAATGCTTCTATTGACTTCAATTGGCTTTGGATCATGGTCCTCTGTGGCAGCAGTAGTCCCTTGTAACCAGCCCCAACAGGTTTGCTGAGTGGAAAAGGCAGGGAAGTGTTGAGTGATAGTATGTGTATAAGAGACACCTTACTTATTTTAGTCTGGGGAGAGCAGTGTTGGGCTGGTTGAAAAAAAAATTGATCTAAACTGTTTTTCAGTAGAAAATTTTCATGGGAAGTGCCTGCTTCCTGTGGAAAATTTCAACTTTTTCTTGAAAAACCCAAAACAGGAAAACCAAAAAGTTTGGTTTTATTTTTCCACAGGGGAGAATAATAATCTGACCAGCTCTAGAGGCATGGTAACTTGGAGCAAAAGGAGAACTGGGACGTGTTAACCCATAGAGTTTTAAGTACTGAGGGTCAACATTTTCAGGAGCTCTTGAAGATCTCATAAGTCCTCCAGGAGCCCAAGGTATAGTATGTTCTTAATATTCCTTAGGGGGAATAAATCTCAGACAAAATCTTCATTGTTAAAGTAAAAGTTGTTAGAGTAAGTAATAAACATTAGAACAATAAATATCAAGAATTTTATACTTAAAAAATAGAAATAATAAGGAAAGTTTTAATTTAATTAATAGGTTTAATTACTCATATAATTCAACCATTTGAACTACTCAAAGAGTATAATTATCAATGGTTCACTATCAAACTGGGAAGATGTATCTACTGGGATCTTGCAAAGGTCTGTCCTGTGTCCAGTACTATTCAATATTTTCATTAATGTGTTGCATAAGGAAGTGGAGAGTGTATGTATAAAAATTACAGATGGCACCAAGATGGAAGAGGTTTCAAGCACTTTGGAGGACAGGATTGGAATTAAAAATTTCCTTGATTAACTGGAAAATTGGACTGAAATCAACAAGATAAAATGCCATAACAACAAGTGCAAAGTGTATTCTTAGTGAGGAAAAATCAAATGCCCAAAACAATATGGGGAATAAATGGGTAGGCAGTAGAACTGCTGAAAATGATCTGGGGTTATAGTGGATCACAAACTGAATATGAGCCAACAATATGATGCAGATGCAAAAAAGTCTGATATCATTCTGGGGTGTATTATTAGGAATGTCATATGTAAGACACAGAAGGTAATTGTTCCACTGTACTCAGTAGTGATGAGGCCTCTGCTGGAGCACTGTGTCTGATTTTGGGCATTATACTTTAAGAAAGATGTGAACAAATTGGAGAGAGTCCAGAGGAGAGCAACAAAAATGGTAAAAGATTTAGAAAACTTGTCCGGAAAGAATAAAAAACTGGGCATGTTTAGTCTTGAGAAAAGATGATTGAGTAGGAACCTGATAACAGTCTTCAAATATGTTAAGGACTGTTATAAAGAGGACTGATTAATCCCATTGCTCCTTGTCCAACCTTCAGTGGACCTGGAGAACAATTAATCTGCAGTAAGGGAGATTTAGGTTAGATAGTAGGAAAAACTTTCTAACTATAAGGATAGTTAAGTACTGGAAAGGTTACAAAGGGAGGTTGTGGAATGCCTGTTATTGAAGGATTTTAAGAGCAGGTTAGACAAACACCTGACAGGGATGGTCTAGGTATAGTTAATCCTACTTCAGTGCAGGGGGCTGGTCGATATGACCTCTGAAGGTCCCTTTGAGCCCTATATTTCTATGATTCTATGATACTTCCAGAAAAATGTAAGCATGTAAAAATTAACATTAAACATTACAATTACAGCCTCAACTCCGACCCCAGGACATAGCTTTCAAAAAACATAGCACTTCAATTTTTTAATTATAGAAAGATAGTTATAAACATTTAAATAACAGTGTTGAAAGATAAAGCGCTAACAGATCTACAGTAACTATAATCCCTTGTACCAAAATACAGAAACAACACATTCCAAGGTCTATTGAACAAACAATTTCTATCAGAATATTGATATTTTATAATTATCAAACTATGCAGCCATTGTGCAAAGAAGAATGTTGCATATTTAATACATTTAACATATCTTTGTACAGTACACCTTCTACTGTGGTAATATATAATATCTAAAATAACACCATGTTTTCACCGTTCATTGTACTTATATATCTGACTTCCTTTGCCATACCATAGCAATTAGATAAAATACAAAATAACTGTATGAAATTAAAAAGAAAAAAGAAAAAAGGGGTCAGAGGGGTTGTTATTGGAATACCTAATGTTTATTTTCACTTGATTTTCATTAGGCAGTATAATCACTATAAAGGTATTCATATCTTTAGGTACAATGACATCATTATAATTTTGTATGCTTTAATGAATAGGGTTGGTTTTTTTACCTGTAGTGTTCTTGGTTTTTGTTTTAATGTTTATATTTCTTACTGTAGGAACCCTAATATTAAGTTGATGAGGTTATTTTTATTTCTGGGAATATAATATTTTAAAACTCATGAACAGGCTACACCTCATAAATGTATTTTATGTATGAACTTCCATCAGATCATTAAATGTATTTTAAACTATGTTTACAATAGATAAAAGAGCTTCGATGTCCGTCATTACTGTTGGTGATAGATGTATATTCAGGAGATGTACAGTACATTCATTAGCCTTTTATGAAAACCTTTGAAAGTGGGAGAGAGGTTTTAACAGTCTTTGTAGGTCACAATAGGAATGGGTTAACTATTTGGAAAAAATAATAGGTGTCTCAAAGTTCAATCCAGACGTTGAACCAAAGCTTTAAGGTCCAGGTTGGTAATAACCTTTCATCTTTCTAACCCGTAGTTGTTTCCTTAGGGCCATACACCCCATACAACATTGGGAGTTGTTCTTATGACCTGTGCAGCTCCAGAACATATGAATTTTGAGGACAGTGGTTGTATATAAGTAGAGACCTGATGTATTTGGTGTGATATCACCAAAGCTATGGAAAGCCTGAAGGAGACCAGGGAGAAGGATATTTGGTGTTGGAGATCACAATAAAAGCATGAAGGAGATAGAGATAACCATGTCAGAAAACTGATTGTGCTGGGGAGAATGGGGAAGAAAGAGAGGAAGTGACTTCATTATTGAAGCGAAGTTGGGGATGGCTGGGAAGAAAAGGAAGGACCTGAATAGACTGAAAGGATGGAGAAAGTTTCCAAAGATTTGGAGCTTCAAGTAAGTGTCCAGAATTGAGGCACTTTATCTGAATCTTTTGTGGTTTTCCCAAAATGAAGGCTAGTAAAGGCACAGAGTGAGCCTCACACCAACTAGAGTAACCTCAGCAGACGCTGAATGGCTTTTCTTTAGCAAATCACTGAAAGTTTCATTAGAGGCCACATGTCTTTCAGTGGACTCAACAGCTGCAGTCTGAGTAGTTACCAGACTGACATGCACTCGACATGAGTAAATGTGGAAACTTTGATATTTTGAAGTGTATCAGTGGTAAAGCCAGAATATCTCGATGCACTGGAATCTTAGAATAAGCCAGCTTTCAAGTAGGAAGTGACACTGAAATTCCCTCTGTTTCATAGCTCTGCTCTTTTTGAACTGTAGACCACCTGTAATTGTTTAGTATCAGAGGGGTAGCCGTGTTAGTCTCTATCCACAAAAACAACGAGGAGTCCAGTAGCACCTTAATAGGCTGACTAGATAGCAAGTGTCAAAAATCAGGACAGGATGTGGGGGGTAATAGGTGCCTATGTGAGAAAAAGACCCAAAAATCGGGACTGTCCCTATAAAATCGGAACATCTGCTCACCCTACACCTTAAAGACTAACAGAAAGCTTATGCCCAAATAAATCTGTTAGTCTTCAAGGTACCATCGGACTCTTCATTGTTTTTGTAATTGTTTAGGAAGCTATAATGGGTTTGAATCACCACTGCATTATTCCGGTTTCATACCAAAGAAGCTAAGTCAGTGAAATATTGCAGTGGTCTATCAAGGCCAATTTTTGGGATTTTGCTCAGAACAGGAACTCATGCGCTAACTTATGTTCAGCCTCATAGTCCATTCACTTGAACTGTTGGCTGTATTTGTGATTATTGTTTTTTATTATCCCCATGCAAATTAATTTTGTCTTCGTCTGAACTGATTTGATGTAGTGTATGGATATTTGGATGTTGTAACTTTCTGCCTGCTGCCTTCCAGATTTCCTCTCTCAAACCAGATGTTGGAGTGTAGTGTGTTTTTAACATGATGTGATATGTACTTAACTTGTTTTCTATTGCCTGATATCTTAGTACATAGAACAAATTGATACATTCATGTACCACTGCACCTACTACGCTGCCACATGGACCTATCAGGTCTAGCATGTCCTGT